ATATCTTACACCGCCTGATTGCATAATAATGTTTGATAGGCCGTTTTATAGGTGATGGAAGTGATTATTCAAAAAGAAATTACCCTTTAAAATATTTTTTAAAAATTATTATGTGAGAAAATTTATGATTTTAATAATTAATATTTATTACTTTTTATAATTTTTTTTTCCACATCACTGATGTTATTTTCTCATTATTCAACACTTGATTACATTAGAGCATCCGCATCAGTCTAAACAAATTTTGAGTCAAATTATAACTCAAAATTTATTTTTTTATTTTAGCTAGCCTCTTTTTTATATGCACACTCCATCAAACTCTCTATTTTAAAATTCTATTTCATTAAAATATTATTTTTTATTCTTTTATCTTTTTCAATTTAAATATATTAAAACCAGTATAAAATAAGACCCAAGACAGCACCAAAGCAACAATAAAACAGTAGCAACACAGGAGTCAGGGTGGTCGACCGCCCGGACGACTGGGCGGTCGACCAGTTAAGCAAAATTTCAGCATTTTTCTTCTTCTCATGGGATATCCTGAGGGATGACCCTAGCTTTGCTCCAGTTCAGAGAGAGAGAGAGAGAGAACTTGATAAACTTCCAAGATGGTGAGAATGAAATTTGTGTGATGGCTCTGGTAAGTGTTGACAGTAATGGTGGTATGAGAGATAGTGTTCTTGTTGGTAGGAGAAAGAAGCACGGGAAAGAAAATATAATAAAAAATTGATTACCTTGTGAATAGTTTCTCACTTCATCAGAGAAGGAACCGTAGCTTTGTCAAAATGAATGAAGCCCATAGCGACTCTGATGCATCAACATATTTACAGTTTGGCTATCTACAATAGCGTTAAAGTTGTTGTAGCAACTCTGATGTTGATGCTCTTAGGAACCAAATTAGAGTACCATATCCATCATTGGATGCCTTGGGCTATGCTTGGCATAGCATTTTCGGGCTATTTTAGTCAAAAAAATAAAAATAAAAAATAAGTTAAGAAGTTAATAAGACAAAATATCACATTCAAACCATAATTATTTTATTTTTTCTCTTACAAAAGTCAAAAAAATCAAAAAATCTACCTCAAACGAGACTTTTTAACCCCAAGTTAAAATAGTCAAAAAATTAAAAAGTTAAAAAACCAATCTATATCTCAAACGAAAGCTAAATTATACTTCCGTGGCAAATAATAATTGGATTTGTCAAAAACGGGTTGCGTGTTATTCCCAGCCGATAATGCCGCCCATAATGAATTTTTTTTTATTTTTATTTTTATTTCTTAAATTATTATATTTTTATTTATTTAGTCTTTAAATTTTCTATTTTTTAGTTTAGGGTAAATTACATTTACCTCCCCTGAGGTTTCTGACAAATATAGGGACCTCCCCTGTGGTTTGAATAATTACAGTAACCTCCTTTACTTTACCTGACAATGTCAAGATTCCCTCAAACTGTGACTGTCGTTAGAAGATCTAACAGAAAGTGCTGATGTTACTTATTATAAATGATGAAATGTCCAAAATACCCTCATTGCGTTCTAATTCATCTAACTTCTACAGCCTCACTGCCTTCTAATTCACCTTCTACTCCTGTCATCGCCAAATACCAACCCATTCACCATTGTAGCACCTCCCACAAAATCAGAAATATACATAAGGGTATATATATGTAAGATATTTATGTATACATATGTGTGTATGTGTGTGTGAGATATATATTGATTCAATTCTCTTTTTTTTTTTTTTTTATTCAATCAAATATATATATATATATATATAAAGGTATATCTATGTAAGATATTTATGTATACATGTGTGTGTGTGAGAGAGAGATATATATATTGATTCAATTCTTTTTTTATTTATTTATTCAATCAAATATATATATATATATATAAAGGTATATCTATGTAAGATATTTATGTATACATGTGTGTGTGTGTGAGAGAGATATATATTGATTCAATTCTTTTTTTATTTATTTATTCAATCAAATATATATATATACATAGGGTTTGACTCAATTCTCTGTTTTATGTTTGATAGATATATATATATATATATAGGGTTTGATCACGCCGCTTTGGAGGGAGGAGTTCGAGAAGTCACCGTCGTCGGCGGAAAGGAAGCGGAAATCGAGCAACGGAGACCAGAAAACTGACGAGTTTAAAGATTAAATATACGATTTTGAGGGAAGGTTCAGAGGAGGAGGAGGAGGAGAAACGGCCTAGCACAGTGGCGGCAGCTTCAATATTGGAGGAGGAGGCAGAGACGACACCCCAAGTTGAAGCGAGCTCGAGAGGAGAGGGAAATGCTGAGAGACCCTCGACAGGGTTGCGATCGTGTGAGACAGAGACGAAGCAGTTGCCGTGGGCGTCTCAGTTGTAGTCGTTGCAGAGGAGGAGGTTATCGGTGGCTAACCATTTCTCTCTCTTTCTGAAAACCCTAACTGGTATGAGAGCTTCAAAACCCAAGAACTAGAATGGAAGAAATTGAAAGTACAAACTAATTTTTGCACAAGCTATTGAGGAGAATAATCGCCGGTGGGCTTTAGGATCGCCGGAGGCAGTTGTATTGGTCGGAGAGATCATAGGTAGGAGAGAGGAGGTAAGATGAAAGAGAGATAGGAACAAAGCATGATGTTAGTGAGGTATGTATGGGAGATATATGAATTAATGGGTATTTTGGTCTTTTTGTGTTCAAATAAAAGGGCAATATGGTCATTTTGTATAATCAAGTAACGTCATTTGTGCAAAATTAACGAATTGGGGGAATCTTGACATGTCAGGTAAAGTATGGGAGGTTACTGTAATTATTCAAACCACATGGGAGGTCCCTGTATTTGTCAGAAACTTCAGGGGAGGTAAATGTAATTTACCCTTTAGCCTCCGTTTGGGAAGTGGGTTGGCTTTTTGGCTTTTTTGGCTATTTTAGCCTGGGCTAAAAAGCTTGGTTTGTGAAGGACTTTTTGGCTTTTTTGACCTTTTTTTGTGAGAGAATAGTGTAATGATTATGTGTTGGATGTGATGTTTTGTTTGTTATGGCTAAAATAGCATATTTTATTTTTTGTGACTATTTTAGTCCTAAAACCACTTGCCAAACACCACCTTAGTTTATGATGTCCAGCTGAAAATGATTGTACAAATCAATAATTCTAGAGCCTAATTTGATGATGGAAAAATTATTTTAAAATTAGAGCAATTTAATTATACAACCAAAAGCTTATTAAATTAGTTATGAATTGTAATTTATTCAAAACAATAGTAAGAAAAATAAGTGATTAATTATATGCCCAAATCGTTTAAATTTTGATTTTTTTTTTTTTTTACTTAATCAGACCAAATTTGAATGATTATTAATTTGTATAAATTATTTTTAGTTGGATTACATACATTGAAATAAATTTTGTTAAAAACTAAATAGACTATATTAATTAATAGAGTAATTTATGATTGAAATTTAAAAAAATAAATAAAAAATAATTGTGTTTGGTTTTAGTTTTCTAAATTCAGTTTTATGAAAATTAATTTTTTTTGTTTTTTTGTATTTTCAGTAAATATTTTTAAAATTTAATTTTTTTTTACTTTTTTAGACTAGATGTATCTAAATAGTAAAATATTTGCGAAAAAATATTTTAAAAAATTAATAAATACAAAAATATGAAAAAAGTACTAAATATTTTTTTTTTATATTTTTGGTATTTGGTAAATTTTTTAAAGATTTTTTTCTACAAATATTATACTTTTTAAGTGTATTTATGTTAGGTGTGTCTAAAAATAAAATAAAAAACTACTTAAAATATCAAAAAAAAATTATTGAAAACAAAAAAATACAAAAAATAAAAAATAAAAATTATTAAAAAGTACTTTCTACCAATCAAGCCAAATAATAATTCAAGGTAGCGTTTGATTGAGTTTTCTAAATATTATTTGAGAATAAAAGTTGTATTTTGAGTTTGTGAGTTTTGAAATTATGATATGAGTGTAGAAATTTTTTTTGGTGAAAGAGTTTTGAAAATAATTTTAAATTGAGTGAGAAATTTTTGTTGTGTCATATGATATTTGATACAAAAATTTATAAAATTACCACTTATTCTTATTCCTTATTTTTGTGAGAGATTTTGTAAGGGTAAGGCATTTATTGTTGAGTGAGGCTCAATAGATAAGAGTAAGCCCTGTGCCAAATCCACAAGCTTGGTGGTGTATTTATTCAATTGATAGTAAAGAAATTCTCAAGGAGGTTCCTTGGGGAGTGGACGTAGGCCTGGCGTGCCGAACCACTATAAATCGCAGTGTTTGATTTTCTCTCTCTATCTCTTCTACTTTTATATTGATAATTATTCTGTTTGTTTTTATTTATTCAAATTCTGAATATTGTGTTATATTTAATATTGTGAAATTTTTAATAACCCAATTCACCCCCCCTCTTGGGTTGCCTAACTGGGATAACATATACTTTTTAAGTGTATTTATGTTAGGTGTGTCTAAAAATAAAATAAAAAACTACTTAAAATATCAAAAAAAATTATTGAAAACAAAAAAATACAAAAAATAAAAAATAAAAATTATTAAAAAGTACTTTCTACCAATCAAGCCAAATAATAATTCAAGGTAGCGTTTGATTGAGTTTTCTAAATATTATTTGAGAATAAAAGTTGTATTTTGAGTTTGTGAGTTTTGAAATTATGATATGAGTGTAGAAATTTTTTTTGGTGAAAGAGTTTTGAAAATAATTTTGAATTGAGTGAGAAATTTTTGTTGTGTCATATGATATTTGATACAAAAATTTATAACTCATAACCAAATATACAATTCAAAAATCTATTAAAAACTCATAATTTTTTTTAAAAATATTGTTTTATTAAAAATATAAAAACAAATCGCACTATTCAGGTCAACTGACCGGACGACTGACCAGCGTGCAAGGGATGACTGGTAGACCAAATTTCAAAATTTAAAAGTCTACTTGAAAGGAATTTTCAAAAAGAGAAATGAAATTAATCTTCCAAAAGTCAACCGAAATACCATATTAAAATATGGGAGCAGAACAATGATTCCAAAATCCTTCCAAACACAGCCCAATATTCTTGAATATGTTTTGACCAGTAGCGACAAAAGCAATCAAACATCCATGTAAGCGAGCTACACAACAATCGAGAGGCAGAGAGAAAGAGATAGAGCTCAAGGTTAGGGTTTGCTTGCGTCTCTATGCCAGAAGGAACCGACTCTCGTCTGAGCTCTCGGTGCCATTCCTCTTTCAAGATAAGTCTGACGATTCACTTCCTCAAAGGTTAGCGTAGATAAAGCTTCAATCTTTGTGTTGTCATACTCATATCTCAATTTTTTTTTTCATTTCAATCACTTCATTATCTATGAAAAATGTTTCCTGTTTCGATCCGAGAGGAAAACCGAAGGTTTTGAAATGCTAGTTTGTTCCGCTGATTGTTCGAGTTTGTTGTGATAGCAGATGATCACAATCACGTTTGAAATTTTGAATATTTGGGCATATGAGAATTGAATTAGGTTTTGGTATTTATAGGGATTATAGCATTTTTGGTATTTTATATAGCAGGGTGGAATTGGGATGTCTCTGAATCTGGGTCTGGGAATTTCAGAAATTTTATGCTTCTTTCGTTGCACAGTAACTGAATTGGGTTTCATTTGGTGGTTTAAGAAACACTAGTAATTGGTTAGTGAGGTTTTTGGGTATTGATTGATACTATGGGTGAAATTGGGGAAACTTCTGAATCTGGGTCTTCTAGAGAATTGAGTTCCCAAGCTGTCAAAGCTGAGTCTTTTCATGAAGAGGATAGTTTTTGCAGACAAGTGACTAATTTTGGGGGAGGTGGGTCAAGGAATACAAGCCCACTAAGCCGAGCAGGGTCACGGAATACTAGTCCTTCCAGGCAGAAGGTGGCTAAGACTAAACCACGGGGCTTAGATGAGGAGGAGACAGTTGCTACATTTGCTAAGGCCATTCACCCTGATGTGCAAATGGAAGATAATATATGGGCAATGTTACCTGAAGATTTGTTGAATGAAATCTTGGCTAGGGTTCCACCATTCATAATTTTTCGGCTCCGATCCGTTTGCAAACGATGGAATTCACTTTTACAGGATAGTAGTTTTCTTAAGTTTCATTCACAAGTGCCATCTCATGGGCCTTGTCTTCTTACATTTTGGAAGAATTCACCGACCCCACAGTGCTCTGTGTTTAGCTTCCCATTGAAACAGTGGTATAAGATCCCCATGACTTTTTTACCACCGTGGGCATTGTGGTTGGTTGGTTCATCAGGAGGTCTTATTTGCTTCTCAGGACTTGATGGGTTGACTTTCAAAACATTTGTTTGTAACCCCCTTACACAAACTTGGAGGATATTGCCAAGTATGCATTATAATCAACATAGGCAGTTAATTATGGTTGTTGATCGAATGGATCGATCGTTTAAGGTTATAGCTGCTAGTGATGTTTATGGTGACAAGTCATTGCCAACTGAAGTATATGACTCCAAGCTTGACCGTTGGTTGCTTCACCAGACAATGCCTGCTGTGAACCTTTGTTCCTCGAAGATGGCATTTTGTGACTCAAGATTGTATTTGGAGACTCTTTCACCCCTTGGTTTAATGATGTATTGGCTGGACAAAGGATATTGGGAACACGTTCCAGCCAAATTCCCAAGGTCTTTGTTGGATGGTTATCTGGTTGCTGGCACTCAGAAACGCCTGTTTCTTGTTGGAAGGATTGGTCTTTATAGTACTCTTCAAAGTATGAGAATTTGGGAATTGGATCAAGAAAAGATTGCCTGGGTTGAAATAAGTAGGATGCCACCAAGGTACTTTCGAGCTCTTTTGAGGTTCTCTGCTGAGAGATTTGAGTGCTTCGGGCAGGATAATTTGATCTGCTTCACGTCTTGGAACCAAGGGAAAGGCCTACTTTATGATGTGGATAAGAAGGTTTGGTCCTGGATTGCTGGCTGTGCTCTTCAGTCCTACAGCGGTCAAGTTTGTTTCTATGAGCCAAGATTTGATGCTTCAATCCATTAACCAGGGAATTTAGCATCATGGGTTCCATATGTTTATTGTTTAGGTTTCTAAAGAGCTTCAAATTTACAATTTTCATTATGCATCGTCTTCTTCCTCTCATCCCCCTGTGCCCCTTTTTGTCCACGATCAATGTTCAAATTTTCAAATTCAGCTGGGTCTGCTGTTATACCTTTATTTGGCAAATATCTGCAGTTCCTTGAGATTCTTCTGCTGGGATTATGTGGGCATTTTGTTTTCAAGAATTCTTACAACGGAGGTTTTGGTCACATTTTGTATAGGTTTCTACTTTCTAGGGGACATGTTTTTAGTGCTTTTTGTTGTCGTAATTGAATGAGGGTGGGTTACAAGAGGACTTCATGGATCATGACATTTAAGGAATAATTGTAGGATGATTTTTTTTATAATTATTCCGAATGAGTACACTGACTGAAATTGCTTAGAACATCCAAGGTGCCTTGCTTACCTGTATTTCTGTGATGACTCATTTATGTGATTACGGGTTCATCCTCTATAGAATACATCAAATTTATGTTCCTTGAATGTGATTTCTATGCATTCTTCCTGCTGCTGATTAGAGCTATCATTTTCTCTGTAGATGATGTGTTGGTAAAGAAGGCTGTCTTATTTGAGGTTGTTGAATTGCATTTGCTCTTACCGTCTGTACTCCTGTTGATATCTTCCATTTCTCCTGGTTATGCTGCTATAGTACCTGTTATATTGCGGATGAAAAAATATTATCTGTTAGTATTAAGTTTTGGTTCTTAGGCTTTTGGGGGAATTTAGGTTATCACTGGAATTTAGACCACTAGATTAATTGGCTTTAGACTTCATCGCACTGTCATATTTCAGTCTGAAGGGACCGAACCCAGGTTTCAGTTTCCTTTGTAAAGATAATCCACAATAGAATTCGCTTATGTTAAACTAGCTTCTATCCTTCGTTTACAAACCAAGCTTGAAAAAATGGTGCCTCCTGTTTGTATGTTCATATACTATTATACACCCGAACTGTTCCAAATCAATCAAAGCAGATCAACATACACAACCCAACAAAGAGAAAAAGGGATGGAAATATGGGGAAAATAAAATGAACTGAGGAATTTTTTGGAAGGCAAAAATAAAATCAAAGAGGGGAAAATAATAAAATTAAAATCATAAGTAAGATCAATATTTAAAAAAAAAAAAGGAATGAGGGAAAATAAAAAATAATTTTAAATCACAAATAAAATTAATAATTCATACAATTAATTGGGCCTAATTTTAAAATGCCATTAGAGATTTGAATAGAAATTATGAAACTTTGTGGGTGTTTGGGAAGTGGCTATTTTAGAGGCATTTTGACTTTTTGGCTATTTTAGTAGGCTATTTTAGTTTTTGTGTTTAGGAAGATGAGATGAATTTTTATTTGAGTTGTTGTATTAAAAAATGCGTTGAAATGATGTTTGAAGTTAAAATGACAAATTTGTCCCTAAGATCACATTTTTTAAAAATTGACGTAAAGGGGCAAAATCGTCATTTACCAAGGGATGGCACAACTTGTCAATGTGACAGTGTAGGCACGGTTTCAGCTATATATATATATATATATATATTTTTAATATAAAATGTTGGTTTAGGTGCTTTTTGGTTTTTTTTTAGTTTGAGATTATTTTAGCCTCAAACTACTCATTGGGGCAATTGCCCCCGTACTAGCTCCACCCGTTGCTTCAACTAAAACATTGCTGTTAACAACTAAGGCCCCTTTGGGATAAAGGTTGGGGCTAAAATAGTTATATAGGATAAAATAGGCTATTTTAGTTAAATATGACAAAATATCATATTCAAATTCATAATTATTTTATTTTTTCTTTTACAAAAGTCAAAAAAGTTAAAAAAAATTCTATCTCAAGTGAGACTTTTTAATTCCAAACTAAAATAGCTAAAAAATAAAAAATTCAAAAAATTAACCTATATTGCAAATGAACCCTAAAGCAAACTCTTAGGAAACGTTAACAAACATTCGTGTCAAGCGTTCAATGGAATAGTGATATTTTTTACAAGGATCCAAATACTTTCAAAAAATAAACGGTGGTGCTAGAGACCACTAATTTAGTGGTTCTAAATCCACCACTAGTGGCAAAAAAAAAAAAAAAAAAAAAAAAAAACAAGTAGACACAATACAAACTAGGAATGGCAACAAGTCGGGGTGGGGCCGAGGACCACACCCCCCGTCCCCGATCCCCGATGACAAAAATTTTCCCGTCCCCGGCCTCGGTCCCCGACGGGAAACCTATCTCAGTCCCTGTCCCCGCCCTCTAACGGGGATCGGGTTTCCCCGACCCCGAAAGTTCCCCGGATCGGATAAAAAAAAAAAAAAAAAAAAAATCCAAACAGCAACAAATATCAACTGCAACATCATCATCAAACGACATCATCATCGATTCAGCGAACAACATCATCATCAAACAACATCAACACCAACATCATCAACATCACAAAAGAGAGAGAGAAAGAGAGAGAGAGAGATCTGAGGGAGATATCTAAGTATACAAAGAGAGAGATTGCCGAATGAGAGGACCTGGCGGATCTGAGTTCTGTTTGAACATCTGAGTTTGCAGATCTGAGAGATCGTCGAATGAGAGATCGCCGAATGAGAGATATGTGAGTTTGCAGGTCTGAGTTCAACGGTGATGGAAGGCGGGAGACGAGGGCAACGGAGGAGGAAGGAGAGGAGGACAGCTGTGAGAGGGAGATCGGTGCCGGTGGTGAAGGAGAGGATGACAGCGACGAAGGTGGGAGGAGGACAGCGACGGAGGTGGGAGGCTTTTAGAGATAGAGAGAGAGAGAAAGAGAGATGAGAGGCCGTGTGAGATTGTGTGAGTGAATTGGGTTTGTTTTTTGGGTTTGTTTTATACATGTAACATGTATATATAAAAGGGTATGACAGTAATATCACTTCGGGGGAGATACGGGGCCGGGGCCGGGGCTGGGGCTGGGGCCGAGAACGGGGCTGTGAATGCTATCCCCGTCCCCGGCCCCAAATACTTCGGGGATTTAATTTCAAATACCATCCCCGTCCCCACGAGGGTATTTTTCGGGAAAAAACCATTTTGATCGGGGTCGGGGGGTCGGGTCCCCATCAGGCTGGGTTCAAATTGCCATCCCTAATACAAACTGTGGCAGTGCGTGCATCACTAGTGGTAGCTCTAATTAGAGCTCCCACTCATTTTCAAAAAACAAATTATTGAACTAACTGACATGTAAGACTCCGCTTCCTAGGCAAGGAAAATTTTAGGTTGTGTTTGAATAGCTTTGTGAATATGATTTCAGTGCATTTTTCATTGCTTTGTTTGATTTAAGTTTTAAAAATTGATTCTAATGTCACATTCCAAAACTTATTTCAGATCATGTTTGGAGAGCAGAGAGTTTTTTGAATTTTGAAAAGAGCGAATTGGGTCTACCCGACCGATCATCCTCCTGACGTCTCCATGGACGTCCAGCCGATTGATCGAAACAACTTCTTTTTTTTTGGGGGGGAGGGGCAATTGGCACCTGCTATTTGAAAAAAAAAAGAAGAGAATTTGTTTTTTATTTTTTTAACAAAAAATAATTTTTTTATTTTATATATTTTACATAAAAAATATTTTTAGAATTTTTTAAATAATTTTTTTTATCAATAATTTTTTGTTGAATTGAATTTTAAAAAGAGTTTGGTTATGAGGTTTGAATAGAATTTTGGGTTGTGTGTTTAATTATAAGTTATAAGTTTTTGAATCAAACAACTTTTCTAATTTAAAAATTCATTTCAAAAATTCAAAATTCAATACAAATCTCTTTTCAAACTCATAATCAAACAAATTTTCTCTTTTCAAATCATAATTCAAAAACTCACAAATTCAAAATACAACTTCACACTCAAATCATAGTTCTAAAACTCTACCAAACGCTACCTTAGTCTTTTTTAGCCTAAAATTCACAAAAAGATAAAATAGACTAAAATAATTAATAAGACAAAATGTTATATCAAATCCATAATAATTTCACTTTTCTCTCACAAACATCACATCCAACTACAAAAAAATTCAATCATCTTCCTAAACACAAAAATTTTAACCTACTAAAATAACTAAAAACTAAAATAGCCTATTAAAATAGTGATTTTTCAAACACCCACAATGTATCAAAAACAATTTTAAAGATGATAATCATCGATTAAAACTTCCACGTAATTGATTAGATGATCAAGAAAGCAAAAAAAATAGCAAACTAGACGGATGTGAATTTAGGTCTAGACATTTATTTAGAAAGTTAATCTATAGTCAAAAATAAAATGATTATGAATTGGATGTGATATTTTGTCATATTTAACTAAAATAGCTTATTTTGTCCTATATGACTATTTTAGCCCAAACACTCATCCCAAACGGGGCCTTATATTTAGATGGTATATTGAATTTTTTAGGTAAGTTCTATTGGAAATTTTGATCTTATAGGCTTATTTTGAGCTATCTTTGAGTCCAAATTTAAGTGGGGCCCACATGTCTTTTTGAGGCGGGTCCAAGTAGTGACGTGTTCTTTGTCGCTTGGCAAGTCACACGGCGAAAACAAATTGTCAAAACCGTTTATGAGTGAATGAAAAGTTGACGTTGTTTTCAGTTTCGTGAAATGGGAAGTTGAAGAGTCAAATATGAGTTATCTTGTTTTGGGTGTGCCACATAGAAACAATAAGAGAGCTTATATGAGTACATAAGTTTTAGGTTGACATACTTGAGATGGGTCCCAAGGGACACCCCAAATTTTGTAAGGAAAGGAGTTATGGACAAAGTGGGTTTGATCCAAATCCATCACACGTGCGTGGTAGGGATGGTGGGTCGGGTACTTGTTTGATTTTTTTCAAAAATCCTAACGGATTAATTCGAATTCAAATTTTTACTTCCCGAAATAGTGCCTCTCCAGTCGTCTCTCTTCATTTTTTAGCGGTTCCAGGTTTCACACTTGTTCAAAGGGTTTTATGCCCTTTTGAACAAACACCGCTTGGCCTATAAATACAGGATCCTCCAGCAGATTCTGTGGGTGTTGATTTTTGACCACATAACCAAAAAAGGGGAAACTCAGCTGGAGAGCACCGGCAGAATAGATTAAGCCCAACAACCTGCACAAGAATATAAGAATCCGACGGTGGTTTGTCCACCCAGGGGCACTCTGACGATCAAGTCAGTAAACAATATCTTTCACAGATAGTAAATAGCGCTTAAACTCACTAGAAAAAACTTACTTTAGACCTACAAGGGTGCCTTGTTTTTATAACTAGCAATGACCTGATCCTATTAGAAGCCTCACTTCGATGGATTCGGGTTTAATGCTCATCCTGAGCCTTCATCTAGATAGAGATAAACTCTCATTGAGCCTTATCTTTATCCAGACTGAGATCTTCCCCTGTTCTAGGACTCTGGTCCCTTATCTGCTTATCTCGAATTCTGGCATCTCCGCAAATAACCTCGGCCTTGCCGATATCACCTCGTCAGCATGACCAAGCCACGTGGCACCTCGGCTAACACTTCGGT